TTTTTTTTCAATGTAAAGAAAGAATGTCAAGGCAATGTAAGTGTTTCTAAAAAAGTAAAAGAAATTTGAAACTCGGGTCATTGATTTAATTAGGTTTAATAAATTTAACTAATTTAATAACACAAATAAAAAAGAATACAACAATGATAGATAAAGTTATATATATTTGACTTGTTAGCCTGAATAAACTTAAATTTAAATATGTGACTTGACTGAAACACCAGAGTATTCCCATTAATAACAAATTGAATAAAATCATCAAGGTTAATCATCAAATAAATCAATATTAAAGAACAAAACTAAAAAAAATATTTTTTTAGTTTCAACAAAAAAAACTTAAGTCCAATCAGGTTAATTTGTTAACCTCAAGATCATGAGTATAAAATTAGGATAACTCCATGGAAAAGAAAGTAAAAAACAAAACATGAAAATTGATTTTCAATCAAACAAATATCGAATGGTAAAATTAAAATAAGAAATCAACTTAAAAAAAACAAATGTTGAAGAATCTTATCTGAAAAAAAAAATTAAATAAGAATGTGAAAATTTCATAGAAAGTAAAATACAAAAATTTAGATCTGAATTTCTAGCAAGAAAAATATCAAAAGGTAAAATTGAAGAAAAAAATATAATCCTAAAAAATATATAAAAAAAGAAGAAGCTATAATCTGAGTCTACCTGAATCAACATATAAAATTTACAATTTGATTGTGATGCAGGGCAATCTAATTAAAAATAAATTAAATAAAATTATGAAATTTAATTATCAAATAATTTCTAATTAAAAAAATACAAAAAAAACAACTTAAAAAAAGAAAGAGAAAAATAAATGGATGAATATTCTAAGTTTGGGTTAATCTTATAAAATTACAATCTGTGAAATTCTTATTTTAGCTTAATCAATAAACTTAATTTTTAATTAATTTAATGTTAAATAATAAAATAATAAAATAAATTGATTTTTAAAAAATTTAAAATAAAAAATAGCAATAAAAAAATAAAAAATAAATATGATATGAAAAAAATAAGAAAGAATGAAATCATAAAAAATAATTAATTTTAAAAATTATTCTAAATAAAATAAATAACTATAAAAAAATAAATTAATTTAATATATAAAGAAATTAAAAAGAATAAAGTTAGAAAAATAATCTAAAATGTTAAATTATTTTATATAATACAAGAAAATTCACATTTCCAAATGAGTGCTGATGCAGATTCCACGTGCGGTGGCTTGTACTGGCGGCTTTAGCCATGAGAGCAGTAATCTCTGAACGATTAAATACAAATCTTTTGGGGCCATGTTTGATTTCCCCACGGAACTGCACGCCCCGCCCATGCAATCACGTGTGAAATGGACGTGTAAACAATTATTTTTCTTAACAATATTTATATTTATTGAATCATAGATAACTTCTAAATAAATTTTATTACAATAAAAAATTATTATTTTAATAATAATTTAGTAGTCTCATTGTGATAAAAAATCAAAAAGATAAAAAATCCATTTAAAGAATTTAGTAGTCTCATTGTGATAAAAAATCCATTTAAACAAGTTTAATATTTTTTTATTTTTAAGAATTATTAAGTTATTTAATTATGTTAAAAAATATGATAAGAGTGATTTATCTAAATATATTTGGAAATAACCAATTGATTATATATATAAAAAATCATATTATTTTTAATAGTAATGTTATTGGTCTTTTTAGAATGGAAAAATAATTATTTTATTGTTACATTCTCCGGTATAATGATTTTTAGGTTTTTTTTTTAATTTTAATTATAATCCATGCATCAAAAGAACAAATGTCAGGATCGCATGCCAGCTTTCCAGACATAATTAAGTACTTGATACAACGTTGCTGCTTCTGCAATCTTGTGTGAAAGGCACGCCCCTTTTGCCAAGCCACTACAATCAAAGAAACTTGTCTGGATTCTATAGCTGCAGGCAGGAATTGTTTTAACATTTCTGTATCAGGATTTTTAAAATGTCAGAGAGGACGCATTTGATTCGAGCGTCAAAATATTCAGCCCCGTGATCATTACATTCGATGGAAGAATTGCCTTTGAGTCGGCGCCTGCGGGCGGATAAAAATGAGTTGAGGTTTGAGACAGTGAGTTCGTGAGTAGCAGCGGCGTTTCAGTGGCTTTGACAAGGTGATCCTGATCACATAATTCCGTGGGCAAAAGAGAAGTAGTTGTGAAGTGTAAGATACCGGCATGAACGCGTCCACAATAGAGAGCTTCAGGGTCCTTAGGCGTGAAGCGGCGTCGGAGAGTATATGTGCTTGCAACAAAATCCGGGCAGTACACAACATCTGCAGCCCCTTTAACAAATCTTCCCGATTGAATGTAAACCTCTTTTGCTGATGCACTATGGCCAGTTGACTTATTCATAATAGTACATAAAAGAGGAATGATTTTGGTGAACATTTCCAACAGATTCAAAATCATGTCCAGCTTCTCAATAAAAACCAAAAAAGTAATGATCAAATTCGTATTATGAACTATGCTAAGACATGCATTTTAAAGTGCATGATCGATCATAATCATGCAAAATTTTCAATTTCGCCCCTTTGTTTTGCGCATTTAATTTAAACTGGTAACATAAACCTCAGACAATCAATTGCATCTAAACTATTTATCAAGAGATTAAAGTGCATGATCGATCATAATCATGCAACATTTTCAATTTCGCCCCTTCGTTTTGCGCATTTAATTTAAACTGGTAATATAAACCTCGGACAATCAATTGGATCTAAACTATTTATCAAGAGACTATTCGATTTGCACGTGTAAGCTTACTTCATGTCTCTCTTCACCGCTAGAAGGGAGGCCATAGAAATCTGCCAAGTGGGCCAGAGCTTCCGAGTTGTTTTCACAAATTTTCCACAGGGATGCAACCTCTCCTTTAGAGACAGTACCCCAATTCTCACAATCACCAAGAAAGTCTAAGAGCTTCTGGTAGTATGAGTCATAGTTCATCACAAGGAAGGGAACTGGAAGCTCTGATCCAATTCTTTGTAGTTGAATCAGTGTTAAAATCTCAAACATCTCATCTAAAGTACCAATTCCACCAGGAAGAGCAACTACAGCAGTCCTATCTGAACAACTACTCCTAACAGCAGCATCCACCAAACCATGCTTTCTTGCAGAAAAAAACCTACATTTTATTCAGAATGATTCGTGCAATTGTTAAGCCACCAAAACCATGATGATTATTGTCCAGCAACTGCAACATTTACCTGCATGTAAGATAAGTTTCTGACGGTAGGTAAGAATGAAAATTTGACGCCGTCCATTCGCCAGCTTCTTTAGCTATCTTAAATCCACCTACAGGCTTTCCTGCTTCAAGTGCGCCTTTAGTAGCAGCATCCATTAGGCCCGGACCAGCCCCAGTCCATGATGTGCAGTCCAAAAGATTTGCAACCTGCAGATTACACATGTAAAAGTCATTAAAATCCATTATGGAAATTTCATCCAAGGTGTTTCTTGAAAATGTTGAAAGCCAATAATTATGCATATTAATGTATGCTCTATAAAAATATATAGGAACACGACAAGCAGGACAAGAATTGATATTACCTCTCTACCCAACTCTAGTGCTTGTGAATAATGTGGATGATCAGGTCCCATTCTTGAAGAACCCAAATAAACGACTCCCCTTCCAAGCCTATGTATGAGTTCATAGCATCTCCCTATCTCTTTTCTGATCTTCAAACACGAAAGCCAAATTATCAAACGAACATTTAACATTTTTTCACAACTTTATACAATCAAGTAAATGGTCAGCTAGTCAATATAGCAAACAACAGTAACCAGGAGCACAAGATTGACCTCTGCTACCAAATCGAAGTATTTTTTAAGGAGAATCCAACAAATATGTTATGTTGGATAGTAAAATTTCCATAGAAATGCCCACAGTGGAAAGAATATGGCCAGAAAAGGTATGATCTCAAATCATATCAGTGAGACACCACAAGCTACATTCCTGATATTCCCAAGAGATAGTCCAGGAGGAAAATCATTTTGTTATACAAACAGCATGAAACTTGGATGCCAGATAGGCTGAGTTGAAGGAAAGTTTTTCAATAATAAAACTTGGAATACTGTGGATTTTGCTTCACCGACCTGGACAGAAGGGACAACTGCAGACCCCATGTGAACTTCTAATAGCAGCTATAAATGAGACATCTTCAGATAACATAAAGTGGCCAGTAGAATTATTTCGTGGATCGTGGTTATCAAAGAAAGGGACCACCAAAGACTAACGGAACTTATGAGCAATAAGCATAGTGCTCAAGCCTTGCATAATTATTTTACAGAAAGATTCACCAGGAGAATCTGTAACTTGTCATAACATTTAGCTTCAATGGATTAAGCAAGGTAGCAGAAACCAAAATTTTGAAGTAAATGCACTCACTGAAGTGCTGAATCAAGCTTAACTAGTAGCCACATTAAGATGTTTTGATAGCTCCCTAAATTAAATCTTGACAAAAAAATAAGATTGCTGCAAGAATATCAACGTCTGGGAACTTAGAACGAGTTTCCTTATCCATTAATGCTTACATTGCCAAATAATTTGGATGTCCACTGTTTCTAAAAATTCTACAAAAGAAGCAACAGCTTATGTTAGAACAAACCCTACTGTTTAAAACCAAGTCCTCCAATTGCAGAAAGCAATGGCATTGCTTCCAATACTTTAATAATCAAGCATCGTCTGCTCAATATAGTCACTTTACCATTTCCATACTTTAAACTCCATTTCCAACACCAGCACTAGCTGGAAAACTACAACCTTCGTGTCGCATATTTTGCATCCCAAAACAAGTCCAAGAAATCTCCAAATCATTTTCATTCTCTCTGTCAAAGTTCTCCATTTCTATGTTGGTTACCTATCTTCTATTGCTTCTACTAACCATATTAGACTGCCTCACTATCCATACTCTATAAAGCAACCACAATCTACTGCCTAGAAAACAGTCGAAGAGAATAAAGAGAAGTTCATTACAAATTTATTAAGCATTTGCAATATACTAATAAATGACACAAACTGAAAGGCCAAAGACCCTAAAGCAGAAGCAGAACACTTGTGGAGGAAAAATGTACAAGAGAACAATTAGAAAGTGGGATTACCTCGGTTGGGCTTGTTCTCTCATCAAAGTCAACCAATTCACTCTTGCAGAGTGGAACTCTTATTTTGCAAGGCTTATTAAATTCTGAGCACATGGTGCTAAGATTAAGCCTCTCTTTTCTACATAAAGGTGGAAACTTTCCAGTATTCCTCACCAGAATATGAGAACCCAGTGAAAACCCAATTGAAAAACCCATCTTTGTATCTTCAATATGAATCAAGTTAAGTTAGTGTTGCTTCATACAAGGAAGTGGGCCTGGATGCTTTAACTGTAACTTACAAGAGACGTAAAATAGAAACAATGGAGGTCGGCTTTTGCAAGGTGGGAAATAAAGATTCTGGGTTTCAGCAACTTGCTTGCTGCCACTTGCTAAATAAAGCGATGATGCCTCAAAATCAAGCGGGTTGTCAGTGGAAGCTTATTGAACCACGAGTTTATTCCAAATAGAGATTGATTGATAGCAGACTTTGAAGGTTGGAATCTATAGCAGACAAATAGAGAAGGATAGGCAAACCTGCAAGTTTTATTAATTAGATTCCAAACGTTTCAAAAAACCTCTGAATCGTATGTTTTTTTTTAATTAAGACTTTTTAACAATTTGTCAAATTTTATTTTCAAATTAATACCAGGATAAATATGTACATTAGACTGGGAATGTCAGTGTTTATCAACTATTTTACCCTTTATGTTTAAATTTTTTTTTATTATTATTATTGCACACACCCTTGCGATGATTTAGACAAATTTACAACATTAAAAAATCATCAAACAAGCAAGGAAATGATTCACAAAGGTTAAGAATGAAGAACTTTTAAATATAATGGTTCTCTTAAAGTAACCAATTAATCTTACGATGTATTAATTATTATTATTATTTTTTATTTGAGAATGATGAAAGTTGGATGACTGTTCGGAGTGTGATAATAATTATGTTTAAAGTACTTTTTATTTATAAATATATTAAAATAATAAATTTTTATTATTTTTTAAAATTTATTTTTAATATTATCATATTAAAATAATTTAAAAAAAATTAAAAAAAATTAATTTTAAATAAACATTATTTTAAACACACTCTAAATGAATATTTGACGCTACGGTGGACACCACTTTTCAAACTTGTTTGATGACGTGATTTGATGCTAGAGATTAAGCTGTAAATCACTAACAGTGTAAATTGACTAAAGAGCATGTTTGAGAAATATAGGAAACATTAGGGACTTGATTGATGAAATTTATAGTTTGGGATGCAATTGAGAAAGAGTATATGAATTTGGAGCTAAAATGAGGTTTTTAAAAAATATCCCACTTGCTGGCTTTATATATATATATATATATGATCCATAAAAAATCCCAATTCTATCATATATTAGATAGTATTTATAACTATAATAATATTTTTTGTTTGAAAATATATATTAAAATTTTATTTTTAATATTAATACATTAAACAATTTAAATGAATAAAAAAATAATATAAAACAAAAGAATTTAAAAACTTTCAAAAACATTTTTTGAGCTCAAAAACAAGCGTAAGAAGCACAATCCACACCCGCAGAAGGTTCCACTTTTACACAATAAAATACATATGATACATGCGAATAAGAAATGAGATCAAAGTACTTGTAGATACACAAGACGAGGGCTAAAATGAAGACAGTTCTTAGATCACCTGTGATCTGTAGCTCCTTCATGAGTTACAGCGGAAACTAACAAAATTACTAGTTTTATACTCCCTTCATCATCAACGTGAGTCCAGCTACTAACTCTTGGTCTGACCCAGCATACAGTCCCCGTGCAAATGGCAGCTGCCAGCTACATTGCTGCACAAAGATATCACCACCTGAACACCTTTACGCTGGCATGAGAATATCAAACTCTGGAGCATAATGACCATCTTGCTGCTCCCAGACCAATCAATGGAATTGAATAATTTATACATATGGATTGATATCTAGCTGGACAATGTTAAGGTGGGTATTGCACAGGGAACAAGGACTGCTTCACTACTCGCAGCTTTAGTTGCGGCAATCTCTTCTAAGCGCTTCCAGGTGGCTTCTTGTTTTGTTTTGAACTCCTCTGCCTTTGCTTCGTTTTCTTGAAACCGGCACAAGCACTGCTCGAACAGCTCGGGGTCAGCATCAGCAAAAATCTTGCGAACATTAACTGTTAAGCTCTGCACCACCTGATTCCAGTGGTTACGTCCATTTTTCTCCAGGGCAGGGAAGATAATGGGGAGTATAGCTTTGCTGTTCTGTCTAATTAAGTTCTCGGTATGATCATTGTTCCACAAGTACAAAGCCCTTTCGGCCACCTGTAAGAGCAAGAGTCAGTAAACTCACCTTTGAAGTAGGAAGCTATTGCTGTGAATGATGCGGGAATTATAAGAGGTCGACCAAAATCAGAATACATTTTTTTGAGAAGAAAATGGTAAAACGGAAGATAATCATGACTTTACAACAACAGCAGACATCATTAAAGAGCCTCCTCAAGAAGAAGCCTCCGCTGAGAGGAAATTAATTCAGCAATGACGAAATTAATTCCAAAAAAAGGTGACCCTGCCACTGATAAAGCAATTCCCAAACCAAGAAGAAAGGATCAAAAACAGTTCCACAAAAACTACTTTACATGACAATGTAACCAATCTCCACATGCGTTCCATCTAGGGAACTAAAAATAACAAATGCTGCAAGCACAATCTGAAATTATCACCTTCACACCATGACTGCTTTACTGCACACCCACGAAACTGCCAGCACATACCCCAGTAGCCACCCACAACTCAATCACCCTAACAACACCTGTAGAGCCACCAAATTAATAACTACTCCCACTTGATACCGTCATTGTTATCACTCATGATACCATAATAGGCACACATACCATCATTTTTGCCAAGTCTAATTTCAAGGCTACCACTGATATGGAAATTATAATCACACATGGCCCACTGTTCAAATAAGTACATGTGGCAAAATCCAAACAATGGCCAGGAAACAGAAGCAAAAATGACACTTCATATACAGATCTTAACTGCCAGAGCATTCCAAGAAAGAACGCTTGATCCTAAAAATTGAAAAGCCCAAGGGAAGGGTTTTTTTTTCATTGTTCTCTACAAATCTCGAACTCTCGAGCTACTTGATTTGTCAAGAAAGAAGGCTTGATCCTAAAATCGGGGGCAATCATGATAGAACAAAGCTCAATGTTTAATTTAAATGAACTTTTAATTAAGGTTTATTAATTTGACTTTATTTGTTGGGTTTAATTTAATTATTATTAGGTATTTTATTTAGTGGGTTATAAGCCCAATCACTTGTTCTAGTTAAGGTTTAGTATTTACATCTTACTTTTCTAAATGTTACATAGTTTTTTATGATCAATGAAACTATTGTAGACTTTGCATATCTTCAATCCCCATTCTTCTCCTCTTTCTCCAAAAGTTTATTTCTTTCCTTGCTTTAATTCTTTTCTTTCTTGTCCTGCATCAAATTTGGTATCAAAGTCTAGTTTTAATTGTTCTTATAGAAGCTTCTTTCTTTCCCTACTTTAATTCTTTTATTTATTGTCCCGCATCAGAGATGCCATTTAATTTTCAAGGTTTGTCAACTAAAAATGCACTTAGTACTAACCTTCAACCTGAACTAATATTTATATGAAAAGAGAAGATTTTATAGAAAAAAGTTTACAAAAGATTGTTGGCGCACAAGGCATCATCCAGTCCAGCTAAGCAAGGATAAAAAACACAAAATCAAAGACATTCCGATTCGTTTTGAGTATCCGTGAGAGAAGTGCCCTAAAGACACCTGCAGCATGACCCCCCTAGGAAATGAGAAAAAACAATCCTAACCTGCAAGAATGGTCTGAACTAATAAAGAACAAGTAGTGCCCCCCTCTCAGCATAGGGTACAAACATGTATATTATATATTGCACACACCCTTGTGATGATTTAGACAAGTTTACAACATTCAAGAAATCATCAAACAAGCAAGGAAATGATTCATAAAGGTTAAGAATGAAGAACTTCTAAATATAACGGTCATCGACTATGACTATCAAGATTTTGTAATAGGCTCCAACAATTGATATCAGAGCTTGTGCTCTTACTAAAGGACTTCACTGTGTTAGAGTCAAAGATCATCGACGTTAATGAATTAGATTTTGTAGATCAATAGTATATGAAGATAATATAGACTCATCTAGCTCAAACTTCATTTGATGTGAGTTTTGATGACTTAATTACCTTATGTGAAGCCTTACATAAAAAGAACAAGATGTATAGAAAGATTAATAAAAAACTTGGAAAAGATGCATGAAAATTTGAAAACTGAAAATAATAATTTGCTTGAAAAATGTGATAGATTAACAGAAGTAAATGAATCATTATGTGGTATTGTTAGTTGTTCCTCATCATTAAAGGATTTGAAAAATGAAAATGGTGCTCTTAGAAAACAAGTTGAAGACTTCACTTCAACTTTAGCCAAGTTTACTCAAGATAGAGATAACTTGGATGTTTTGTTAGGAGGACAAAACAAGAGCCTAAATAAAAGTGGTTTAGGTTTTAATTGTGAACAGAAACAAAAATCCAATGAGCATGTTAATCAATCTATCATGTATAGTAAATTTTCTATATGTAATTTTTGCAATAAGAAGGGTTATTTATCGCATAAATATAGATTAAAAAAATATCATTCCTAAAAATATGATGTGGGTACCGAAAGGTACAATGCCTAACAAACAAGGACTCAATGTTAAAAAGGATATCTAAAAATGCTTGTCGCAGGAATTCTAGGAATGGAGGAGCAAGGAAAGGGTTCCAACAAAGAAGGAACACTAGTCATGAACAAGCAAGGCCTCAATTCCATAATTGACAAATGAGAGGCAACTTGCAAAGGAAAAACCAATGGCAAAGGCAAGAAAAGCCTTACTTCCATAAAAGCCAAGTTGAAAGAAACCCACAGTGGAAGAATGATGGTAGAAGAAATGTGTCACAATGACGTTTAAGGCCTCATCAACATAAAACATCCCTAATTCTCTTAACTTTACGGCATTATAAATATGATCTCTTCCAATATTATGTTCATCCTTATATTCTATAATATTCACATCAAAACCAATGAAAATCTTAGTTCTAATGGCTCCACATGCTAAAGTCCTTCCATTCATTTGAAAACATTGCTCATATGCTTCAAAATCATGTAAGCTAAATCAAATAGTTTTCCATCCACGCTAAAGTCCTTATTTACATTCATTTGATAACATTGCTCATATGCTTCAAAATCATGTAAGCTAAATCAAATGGTTTTCCATCCACAATACAAGTCGTAGTCCACAGATCTATAAATTTTAATTTTTTTTTATGCCCTCCTTTAGGCAACAAATTCAACTAACTATAGAATGCAAAATATACATATTACAAGATAAAGACATTGCAATAGCTCTTTTTGCATCATCTAAAATTCTCCCAAAAACTAATCTCATTTGCTCAAAGAGATGTTGGAGTCTTTCATGCTTCAATAACTTGGTGAGAGGCAAAAGTTCTAGTAAAATCTCCCCTAAG